TCCTGCTGACCACAATATTCCTTGCAAATCATGGCACTATGCCATTTTGATACATAGGTTCTAGATATACGCCATATTTAAAAGACTGTGGCAGGCTTCTTAAAAGGCAGAGTGGGGGAAACTTGCGGTAAAGGATAACATAAGAAATGCTAGTGTCTTTTTGAAGAAAAGTTGCTGCCAAGTATTTAATTGACAAGAGGCAATATTTTCTCTACATATACAAAATAACAAACAGATGTTGACTCATTTTGATCAACATCCAGATGTTGTGACCCAAGAGGTTAATATTGACCAAGGCGATGCTAGCCATCTCATCAAACAGAAGATCGGATTGATGGTATATATATATGTATATTTATAAATAGAGAGAAATGTAACAAAGTAATTGTAAACATGAAATACCTTCTTGAAGATTAATGCTTCCTTCTAATACTGCAAATGTGTAATCCTCATTCCAGCAGAAATTTTCTTATCCTCATGAAAAAATGTCTCAGTCTCTAGTACCACCTTACAGAGAAGATATAACCTAAAGAGATTTAATGCCTCAAAACACCCATTTCAACAAATATTTATTTCTGCATACCAGAGTTTTAACAAGCAGATGTAGATATATGGGTAATCTTATTCATAGAACTAAAATATTTCAAATTTAATTTATTTATGAAATTGTCTGTTTAGGAACAAGTAAGAGATTTATTCCTGTTGCTAAATAATACTACCGTGCCACAAAGTAGTGCAGTGTGGGTATTAAGGCTCTGCTGGGGCTTCACAGTCAGTCTCCTATTTTCATTGGGTTTTTTAATGTAGTCATAAAAAGCGTAGTGCTGCAGGCGGAAACTTGGCCTACGAGGTCTCGCTCTAGGAGTTTTACTGCATGAAAGAGGACTGACTCTTTAGCTATGTGAGCATTTAAAAAAAGCTTGGTTTATTCTTTCTATGAATTTAATATATTAAAAACAGCTCTTGAAAGTGTTTAGGCAGGAAGTCTATAATATTGAGGACAAGATCACGAAACTTAAAGTATAAAAATAGAAACACTTTGTTGTACTTTAACGAGATGATTCATCAGAATAAAATACGGTTTGGGCTACATATTTTGTATCGTTACAAGTCTGAAAATCATTACTGAAAATAAAGAGTAAGGGAGAGAGACAGATGGTTTTGGTTTAATCGTTTTAATTGATAAGCACAAAAAAAAAAAAAAAAAAAAGGCTTATTCGATCCTGGATCATTTTTCCCCCACAACACCACAGCATTATGGGCACTCACAGGACTGAGCAGGATTCATAACTGGATACAAGTTGATGTATATGAGCACAACCGGATACAAGTTGATGTATATGAGCACATGTTGAGCCCCAGCAACAGAAGGTCTGTCAGAGAACTGGGGAGCCCATGCAGCACCCAATAGGTGTCCTGTTTGGAGGTTTTACACAAGAGGGGTTTGCTGAGCAGCATTCATCTATTTCTATGATTGGAACCAGTGCAAAAAATATCACAAAGTTCCAGAATTACATTAGCTTCCATGGTCATCAGAGGATCAAAGCAGTTAGGTTCTTTTCAAAATGATCTTTCTGAGGACAAATCCAGGAAACTGTAGAAATCTGTCCTTGTTTAACCATTTGAAAACACAGCATTACACAGAGCACGATAAAGGGGAAAAATATGCCCAATAATATAACATCTGGTCCTGTACCGGGGCTTAATGCTACAGCCATGGAAGCCAACAGGAATTTTGAACTAGAAGCTATTTACAGCTGGATCAAGTCTTCATTCATCCATAAATACCAGCACATCTTACTACCATACGTAAATATTTCCAGAAGCAGCTATTTGATCATTGCATTGCCTCCCTTGTCATTTAGCCCTAACTATTTTATTTTTCTCCCTTCTTCTCTTTTACCATATCTCTAACCTCAAGAGTACATTCCAGGTCGGTTTGGATCTGAGGACTCATCAGGATATGCTGCTTTTTCTGTTGATGCCACTCACAATGAAAATTTGAACATATCAATGTTTGTCCGAACACGCAAATATTCTGGCTTGTTACTGGCTTTGAGAAACAGTACTTACCTCTACCTAAGAGTCTACTTGGAAGGTGGGAAACTCACAATGTTAGCCCTAAATTCCATGAAGTTATTAGGGAAACACTCCATGAACGATGGAAACTTTTACTTAATAACATTAAAAATAGAACCAAATAAGATGGAATTGTTCCAGTCCTCTCAATACCTAGGCTTTATTTCTACTCCAGTACTAACCATCCAAAGTAAGGATATTCTTTACATTGGAGGCCTACCAGATAACAAAGAAACTGATAGAAATGGCAAGTATTTCAAAGGCTGCATCCAAGATGTAAGAGTGAATAATCAGCCACTGGAATTCTTCCCCATCACCAATCCACTGAATTCTCTTATCAACCGAACTCTGATCAATGTTACTCAAGGCTGCACTGGTGACAACCTCTGCAAGGTAAGAATGACATTTTTCAGAGCATTTTCACATGTTTATAATGGGGAATTTCTTTTAATTTTTTTGTATGTTCCCATACATTATTTGATAATAATGACATTTTAGGAAAATATGTAAATATGCCAGAATGAGCAGATTTTGTTGAATTATGCTACGTATGATGAATATCAGCAGCAAAATGTATTTGCATAGGGAAGAATTAAAATATTTTAAGGTTGAAATACTGTTTTTCACCAATTATTGAACACACTGTGCTGTCATAGTATTTGTCTTTATCACTTTCTCTCTGAAATAAACAGAATTCTCCTTTTTGCCAAACAGTCCCCCATCCTTAGAGTTGGGAGTCCACCAGCTTTTATTCATACTTACGTTGTCTCTTCTGTTTCCCCATAGTCCAACCCTTGCCACAACGGTGGTGTGTGCTATTCAATCTGGGACGACTTCACTTGCACATGCCCCCCTAACACGGCAGGGAAGGCATGTGAGGAAGTTAAGTGGTGTGAGCTTGGGCCCTGTCCTAATGAAGCACAATGCCAGCTGGTGCATCAAGGATTTGAATGTAGGTACATTTCAGGTATTCCTATCATCTTTGGGGATTAGAAACAATAGAAATTTTCATCAGTATTTCCTTAAAACTCAATATTCACTGCCTTTAAAGTTCATTCAAATATTATTTCTGTATTAAAATAATAATTATGTCAATTGTAAGTAACATTAACAGGGTCTGCCCTACCAAATGCAGAAAATTGCAACCAGACCCCCTGACGCAGACACTGATATTTACAGACCTTTGCTTTTGACTTATTCAACATAACTTGTGGAGGTTGTACAATAGATCAGTACATTCCCAGAGTGTGAGTGTACCCCTCATACTTCCACTGCGAAGAGATAACAGGATACCCAGTGCTGCATTAACCTTAGGATGTTCTCCATCCTCCTGAAAAGACAAGCTACATGACATACATTGCATCATTTGATTTTCTTAAATGTTAGATATCTTGGAAGAAAGTCACCTTAATATCAACAGTATAGTTATTCAACTAGCATCTGCATAAGAAACACTTGCATGCCAAGCAGTCTATTTGAAAATTGATGACCGTTAGCTGTCTTAAGAACGTTAGCCACCCTGCATATCTTTTTCCTTCTCCACTTTCCTTCTCCTTCCCACCCTGGAGTGGAATTTAAAAAGCAAGTAAGGATTTTGAAGCAATATTTTTTCTTTTTGCTATCAAAGAAAGCCCTAACAATGCTGTGAAGGAAGATAAATATACACGCAGTCTGATGGAAGCTCTTAGAATGGCTGACTCTTAGGAATGAGAAGGTTGGTCAACAAAAGATTTCTATCATAGACAATTTGCTGACAGACCAATATGATGCTATTTTTGTTGAGATTGTTAGCATCAGCATTGCAGCACTTGTTAAAATTTATAACTGAAATTAAAATAATTGCACCTTCTCTAATAGACGTCTTCAATGATAACATCATTCTCTCATAACAATAACAATATATTCTCTCATAAACTTTACTATTGCATATTATGGTAGAATATAAACACACAGAGACAGAGAAGTGAAAAGTATCTGAACTGTTTCCTTTTGCTAAACTCAAGGTCATTTACACTGTTAGATCACCTTTAGATTTCTGTGCTGGTTTATGTGGCAATAGTAAGGAGTTTCCCTAATAGATATTCCTGCACTACAGAGCTGTAGTTTTAACTAGTTGTTTTCTTAGCTACAGCATAGGCTTCTTGTTGTTCAATACAGGGTAATGAAAAAAAGGAGTTTACTGGCCAGTGAGTTCTCTGCCAGCCTAGTGTCTTATGCTCTGGATACCATTTTAAGCTAAGGCAGAAAAAGAGATCTTTTCCAGGGGCTGTGGCTATAGTTCCACCTAGGTGGCTACAATTAGTAAGCCCTTTAGGAAAATGTGCACTTGAAAAAAGGAGAAAAAGCCAATACAGGAAGCTGATGTGGGGAACATCGGGTAACAGCAAAACCGTATGCCCAGTGTCACAGCTGAGAGTAAAAGCACATCCAGATGGCTTGCTGTGCTCAGGACTTAATAAGAGTTCTACAGGAGTATTTTAGCTGTATGAGCTTAAAAAACTCAGCTTTGTGAGACATTTAAAAAATCAGAAATAATTTTTAAAAGCTCTGACTTTCATTTTTAGTATGGTTTCCTCTGAGGAAACTTTTCCTATGAGAAAGATACCACATTTGATGTGCCAGGCAATGCAGTTACACCTCTGCTGCCTTAGTATCAGGATATACAGTCAATAATTTTGTACTGGGACTCCCAGGGGTTCTTTTCATTAATATTTACTGAGCCCAGAGATAGTTTAGGAACTCACCTTATCTCAGTGCTAGGATGTTGCAAAGCTAAATTTGTCTGAAGTACAGACAGAAGACATTCCTTCCTGTCCCTCCTCCCTGTCTATAATCCTCATAAATCTCAGAATGTGCAAATTTACAGCCCAGTGAGTTAGTGCATTTTAGTAGAAACCATGCTAATGAAAGATCAAATCAAAAAGGTTAAATACCTTTGTGAAGATGTCCATACAACTGCCCCAATGTTGCGCATCAATTTTCACTCACACCAGTGCAAACTGAGTACGCTGCTGCCCTCCCAGTCCCACCAGCACAGGCTCGGTGCCATCAGTAGGGCTGTGGCAGTGTGTACACAGCAGGAAAAGCTGGCTTGAAACATGACAGGCACAACTCTTCTTACATTGATTTTGAAGGGGCTTTTTGCCAACTAACCTCAATTAAATTTGTTCTTTTTGCATCAGTGAGAGTAAATTGGGATCCAATCAAATACTTTCTAAAACCTCTTTAGTGCTTTACCTAAGAAAAGAGGAATTGAGAACAAAAGTTCACCCCATCCAGATCTGTCATGGGGAATAACTAGCTGCTGATACTTAGGAAATGAAGATAAATGACAAATATATATGTTCTTTTGAAACACTCTCTCAGCCTCAGGTTTGAGTTGTATCCAGTTATGATCACCTCCTTCTCTGTCTAAAGAGGAAGAAGAGAGATAACACTAACATGGAATTGTATCTTTAGAATGATAAGTTGAGATGATGCAAAGCAACACACTTTTGATGTCAATATAGCTGGTACTGGCACTGTCCTGTAATTTCTATAGCCATAAGGGGCAGGCAAGGATAACTGAAACACTGGTGGAATTTGATTGTTTTTCAGCAAACCCAAAAGGACTTACATAACAGGGAGCAGGGGGCACTGAAGAGATATTGTTCCACATGTATTGGTTCAAAGTTGGTGTGGTTTCTCAATTTTTATCATCTTTGCACAGGTCTTGCTAATGCAGTGTTTAGTGGTCGGAGCAGTGCAATATTTTACAGAAGCAACGGAAAAATCAGCAGAGACCTCACCAATATCGTATTTGGCTTTCGAACTAGGGACACTGACGTGATATTGCTGTATGCAGAGAAGGAGCCAGAGTTCGTTACCATCAGCATTCACAACTCCAAATTACTCTTTCAATTGCAAAGCGGCAACAGCTTTTATAAGCTGACCCTTGCTAGTTCACTGCCTGTGAGTGATGGGAAATGGCATCAAGTGATGGTCTCTATGGTAGAGCCTCTGTCCCAGTTCTCTAGATGGCACATTGATATAGATAACAAGAAAGACACTGCAACTAGCACAACTGCCACAGGAAGCCTCAACTTTTTAAGAGAAGAGACAGACATCTATGTGGCTGACAAGGCTTTTGACAGTCTGGATGGCCTGCGAGGATGTATGAGCACCATAGAAATCAGTGGCATTTATCTCTCATACTTTGAAAATGCTGACATCCCTACTAAAAAACCTCAAGAGGAGCAATTTCTCAAAATATCTGCAAACCCTGCTCTTACTGGCTGTTTGCAGGTAGATGTCTGCAGTTCAGATCCCTGTATGCATGAGGGGATATGTGAAGACTTCTATACTTCCTACCATTGCATATGTCCCGAAGGATGGACTGGCACCCATTGTGAAGTCAACATCAATGAATGCTCTTCAAACCCCTGCATTCATGGAAACTGCACTGACGGGATCACCTCTTATGAGTGCAGTTGTGAACCTGGTTACACAGGGGTAAATTGTGAAGAGGACATAGACAACTGCCGTGGCCACCAGTGTGCAAATGGGGCCACTTGCATTGATGGGATTAACGGATATTCTTGCGTGTGTGCTGGTAACTTCACCGGAAAATTTTGCAGGTACTGTAAACAAGGCAGATCTGTATGATGTTGTCAGGTCTCTTCTGAAGGGTTATTACATCACTGATGTCTCCATTTTAAACACAGCTGTTATGCAGCTATATATATATTAATCATGGCTGCAGAATTAATGTATAAAGAGTCTGTACAGAAAGCTGTACAGATCAATTAGATGTGGACCGAGGCAGTGGAAAGCTGGCAGCTCAGGCAGAGACTGAGGAGACAAAGAGACAGGGAACAAGACATAGCTCTGCTGCCCAGCTCTGCTGCCGGCCTGGGTTGTACAAGCTCTCTGATGACAGGATTACAAGTCTGCCAGAGCTTGGAGATAGATGTGTTACATCTTTTTTAGAAAAAAAGATTTTAAGGGTTTTGAATCTCTAAAACTGTACTTTATTAGAGTAATAGATCTCTAGAACTATAAGTAGAGAAATTCAGAGTTGGTGGGTAAGAGAAAATAACATTAGAAGGGCTTGTAAAGAAGTTTTTCTCTCCACCCCCAGCATCATTGCTGGGTGGGTCTTTTCCCCCAAGCTTGCTCTCTCAGCCCAGCAGTCCTGGTGGCTGCAGACACCACACAG